AATTGCTTGGAAGTCCACTCGAATGCGTCTGCTCCAATGCATGGATCCTTAAGATCCCCTTCAATGTGGAATGGCGAACCGGGGAATTTCCTTCAGGGAAGACTTGCCGACTCAATGACAGAATTGCGGTAGATTCCTCCCTTCGCTGTCGGGATCCTGCGGAGGGAAGCGATTGATTATGCAGCGATCGATCGTCGATCGTCAAATCGAAATCAACTTCATGGCTTCCTGTACGGACGATCGATGGTCACCGAAGTCAGATCGAAGATATCGATGTTCATGGATATTTTTTTACCTAGCGGTACCCGAGCTGAAGGTGCACCCAGAGGTGATCTCGGTCACAAAAAGGGGAGTCCTTCGAGGTCAATTGCTCCTTTGTGGGGAAACCCGATCCTCAGGGTTTTCGGGGATCGAATGCATTAACGCTTTCACTGCCGTTCGGCACGATGAACCTCCACTTCTGTCCTTGGCAAGGAGAGGTTGAGTGGGGATTTGAACCCTCGGCAGTGAAAGAGTTAAAATACGAATAAATATTGAACTATTGATATTTGCAGTCATATTCACGACGCCGGAGGGATATGCTAGGCGAGTCGATAAGTCTTAGTGCGAATCTGAGGGGAAGGGGGGAGGAGGGAGGAGGGACAGGAATTGTGAAGTTGAACTGTGAAAATGATAAAATCCTCGGTAAATGTTTTGTACGTTTTCGGAAGGATTTGGTCATTTTTCGGTGATTACCTAACCGAATTCAGTCATCAGTCACCTTCTTTGTTCCTAGATGAGCGAGACGACCTCTCTTTACATTTTAATGTAGTGATGTGAAAACCATTTTTCAATGGCTTTACCTTTCTTCAAACCCAACCTCAACTTCTCAACCTCTCCCCCCAATCCACTCCCCTATTCTCACTAACGTTAGGCCTAGGCCTAAACGATCGACTGTGTTCGGGTCAGGCCTAAGCCTACCTTTTTTCGTTCAGAGGAAACTCAAACTTCGAATTACTGGGCAAATTAGAACTACAAGGAAAAATCCCTTGTCTTCCAGACATCATGCGGAGGACGTGTAACGTTAGTCCGATGAAAGGTCTGTTTCGAGTTTCATTAACCATTTCTGTTCGGATGTGGAACGTTATGCCTATCTAGCGTTCCTCGAGCCGTCTCCACGAGTCCTGAGGAGAAAAAGCCTATTGGAAGCATGGAATACAACCCGGGCGCCTTTCAGTAAATTTGCTGGTGTGTCCGAATGAAATGTCTCCACATCCAACCGAATCCATCGGCCACTTCCAGCCATCATTTCAATCTCACCTCATCTCATGAACTCGACACAAAAGTATCTCATACATTAAAAAACAGAAGATCCAGACACCGGTACTATGGCCGAAGAATCCGAAGTCATGAATCGGACAAAATTAAGGAACAGTATCCGGCTATAAAGGAGGACGGGACCGTTCCATTACGGAATGATCCTAAATTAACGGAATCACATTTTATTCTTTATGGCGAAAAGGTGCACAAACAGAAACAAAAAATGACACTTTTTGTCACCTACAAATTAATGTTTTGTTTGGTAGTTCTCTTTCCTCCAAAAACTTTCCAGGAGCGGCTACCCACGGGGGAAGGGGGGGGGGAATGATGAAAAAATACTGGAACGAAATTTACATCTCCGAAAAGCAAGATTCAGTGATCTCGACAACCACAGAAAGGTGGAGGTTCAAATTTGCTGGAGTTATTCTGCGTTGAGAGAGAAAGAAATTGCTGTTGATGCTATCAGAGGGGAATGCGAGACCGTTGAATTTTGATATCTCCCTCTATGATAAAAAAAAGAACAAAGAATAATATACAAAAGTATCGGTATCAGCCTTTGGGAGACTACAGCAAATAGTAGGGATTGGGCTTTGAAATTCGCTTTCCTTCCCCTCTCTTCCTTTCCCTTCTTGTAGAAATTGATGGAGATGCAATTTTATTGCTTAATGCAAGCACATAATAATAGTAATAGCAATTCTTATCAATTATATGTGAAATATACCCAAGCCTGGTTGTTTAACCGGGATTCCCATCGCTGTAACTTTAGTCATATCTTTCTATTGGGAATTTGGCGATTTCGGAAATTAAAAAAAACACACACAGACGCACAAAAAATAACACTTGTCAATCAATGGAAAGAGCTCAAAGGGAGCTTTCATTTGACACTAGTGTCAAATGAAAGCGTATGGATCCTTTCTCGTATGGATCTCGTTTGATACAGGAAATACGAACCCCCCAAGTTGATGAAAATAGGCAATATTGGAATTTCAAATTTAATTTTAAGTTGCTTGAAACATAGTGTGAAGTTGAAATTTAGTTCCTTACATTAATATTGCCTTAGTCTATAATGTCCCAAAAGCTTGCTGTATTACCATGCATCCTAGGCCTCAAAATATGCGCGCAAAATTTAGCAATATTTGCCATTTTGGAAATTGTGTAATTCAATTTTTAATGAACGTGGTAGGAAATGCGTTCAATAATGCGGATCTACATTGTCTCAGCTTTAATTAGCGTACAAAAACTCTTTTCTAGACTAGAACCAAAGATAGCGCTTCAAACTCAAAGGTCAATTTTCCCTTGGGGGCTAAGTTTCAGGACGCATATCTCGAAAACCGTTAAAGCCGGAGAGCCAAAATTTGTCCTTTTTCCTCATAAGTCTTGAGTGCCAACATCTAACAATTTTTTTCAGCTAAATCGGAGTCTAAAGCGCAACCACCCCTTGACTTCTTGACCTGAAATACGTCCTAACTACATTTTGAGATCTTGGGGCATAGACCATTACGGCATTTAAAGTGTACTGATCCACCTGTAAACTTTGTAACGTGACAATGCACACCTCTAAGGATAGCTCTAAGGAGAACCCATATAATATTCCCAAAAAAACTTGCATATGTCTAATATCAAGGAATTAAGCATTTTGCCATTTTTGCTCGAATATGCAATCTGACTTTCTCCCATAAAACGCATATATACCATGTATAGCATAATAGCACATATATGGCATATATAGACGATCGCGATTGAGTGACTGAGTGCCTGACTCACGCTAATTCCAACCATTTTTCAGAAAAACTAGAAATATGAAATTTGGTATACGAGTAGCCATTAGTTCAGGAAAAATCCGGCTTAGGTGGCATATGCCCTGGGAGCACACATTTTGGGGGAAGATGTTATCAATAAAATATTATTTCTTCAATGAAATGGTGAGACATAGAAAGCTGAAACTTGACATGAACGTGCCAAATGCGAGACTGAACTTAGGAAAAATGTCAAGTTTTAGATGCATACCCTAGGAGCGCATTTTTTCGCGCGCGACTTTGTCAAATAATATTTTTTCATAGCAAATTAGGCAGAAATAGGAAAATGAAACTTGGCGTACGCTTTGCTGACATAATCTTGAGCTCAGGTAAAAATTCAGCTCTTGTTGTGCAACCCCTAAGGGCATAGCTTATGTGCAGGTAGGTTTTTTGAAAGGCATGTTTTCGCCTGTGAAAAGGTCAAACGTATAAGTATGAACCTTCGTGAGTAGTTTTCCGAGCATTGATTTCAGTCAACATTTTGCTTTATTCCCCTTAGGGCACTTTTTTTCTGCAAGAAGTGCATATGCCCGAATATTTATTGATCCATCGAAACAGAGAGCGATTGATTGTTGAAACCTGCCACTGAAGATCCATATGGTTTGCTGAGTAAAGAATAGATCCTCCTTTTGAAACATGTCCCCTTCGGGGCAGATTATGGGTGGTAAGTATTTCAATATTTTCAATATTTCAATTTATTTTTCTCTCTGACAAATGGGGACATATGAAGAAATCAGAAGTTAGGCAGGCAAGCAATCATGGAAGAAATGATTTCACTTATAATCTCGATTAGGTCACCTCATGGCACACATTACGACAGGGACGAGCTTTGAATAAGTTTTTGCCACTTCAAAAAACGTAGTTATTGAAAGCTGAAATTCGATAATGAGTGCTTTCTCAACATTAATATAATTAATGCTTTTAATTGTGAGATTTATCCCGAATGACTTTTTCCTCGTGGGATTTTCTACCAAAGACATTTTCGCTGCAATAAACTTCAAAGGGGAAGAACGGGTAACTGATATTTGCTATCTAATATATATAGATTATCGTGACTTGAGTGAGGGACTCACTGACGTTATTTCTAACCATGTTCTAGAAAAGTTAGAAATCTGAAACTTGGTATACAAGTAGCTATAGGGATGTAGAGTTCATGAAAAATCCGACTTTGGAGGTAAATGCCCTCCGGGAGTGTATATTTAGAAGGAAGTTTGGAAAGCGTTTCTTTCACTAATTCATATTATATTCATATTATATAATATTCATTGATCGTATCCATGCTATTATGTTTTGAGAAGCTAGTGATGCCAGAGCTGAATTTTTTTTTACCCATTCATGGATTTCGAGAAAGATTAATCGTTCAGTTTCTGCTTGATGAAGCTCTGTTTTCCAAAGCTTTGACCACACGGCAAGCGCTGAAAGACTCGGGGATCGATTTCTTGGAAAATGCGACATTGTCAGAAAACTCTCCTGATCTGAATGTGGCTGAGAATATCGGGGTTATCATGAAGGATCAAATTGAGGCTCTCTTGCATTTGGAGGATAAACACCATGGATTCTCCCGAGAAGCCTTGCGAAGCAACATCAACAGAGTGCTGAAGGGCATGGAGCTCCTTAAGCGTCTCTTTTCATCTTACCCCAGCAGTCAGGCGCACAGCCGAGGTTCACACAAAATGACCAAAAGTACATGTTTAGCTTTCAAAATCAATGCACTCTCATGTTAAATTTTTCCATAGCTCTTATAGTTTAGATTGTGGAGGGGGGCTCTCTATGTGCAACATCCGCTATATTATTTGAGGACTATATAATTGTGTAATTATTGATTTTCAAGATTGTCGCTGATATCTCGGAGAAGCTGATCGTTGTGACGGTAACGAAGCGAACCGTTGAGAAATATGTTTATCACTAAAGAGAGGTGGCTTTATAGGCCACATTTCTCTGGGGTATGTTGGTCAAGTTGAACATCTGCAAGGCGCGATTCCTCGAGTCAGGAAGAGCGATGGGCGTGGTGGATTCCTGGTACCGGCAGGAGGCCCTGCACGTCATGGACAGCATCTCCCGACGAAGCTGGGCGTTCATCAGAAAGTAGATCAAGGGGTTCCAGACGCACCGCGACTTGGCGAACATCGTCAGGAACAAGTACCTGTCATGGTAAGTTTTTTAAATGAAAGGATTGACAGTCCAGAGCTCCGGAAATTCTGTCTTCATTCCAACTGCAAGTAATTTTCATATTGTGTTAAGCCACGACTATCATTTGCTTGTAGATACAGCAAATAACTTCCGAAAAAAACCGCTTTAAAGATAAATAACCCTCTACGAAGACTTCGAGTTTAGAATTTTGACTCGTTTGTATTTATTATTTGGTAATTGAAAGTATTTACTGGAAAATCTTTCGGTTTGGAATGGGACAATTTCTCCATTTTCTTTAACACCTCGTTCAGTAACATTACTCAAAATATAGGTTCTGGTAATAAAACATTTTATAGTAATTTAACCCAATACCTCTTATTTTTGTAGTGATTCGCAATATTGCTTGCTCATTCGCAACGACACACGTTTCTCTCATACATGACCTACGTAATTTTAATTAGTGGGAGGAGTAACGTTATGCATTCCTCCTTCCGAAATGCCATGGGATTCCGGGGAATCCTTTTTCTGTTCGACCGCATCCTAGTTGCAAACCTAGTTTTGGATCGCTGTAATCAAGACAGCGAGGCAGAAATAATTGGATGAGAGGCACAAAACAATGGGAGACGAAGGAACTCACATGATGGGCGGTAAATCAGGATTCAACACGGACAAAATTGAAATCACCGTGTATGGGGTCCACACAAAAATCAGCACGCACACCATCACTATGTTCATCTGGAGACAATATGAGATTAAATGACATTCCATCCAGTTCCGTGACGTAAAATTATAAATATTTAAAGTAAAATAATAAGCATACTATGAAATTGATCAGAGTTGCAAGTGTGCGTGATCAACATCAGTTGGGAAAAGTCACAACTTAATCTTATTTCAACAGAGACTATTGGGTCATTTTTCTTGCGGTGATCAGCAATATTTATGTAATTTCAAGTTTGGAGATCCAATTGGAGCATTTATCGCTGTTGGGGTATCTGGGGGTGGTATTGCTTTCCCATTGTGTAAGAGGCGGGAGCATCGGCCTTGTTAGTCGAAACCAACAAGTTTCGTGGTGGGATCAGAAACGAGTCATTTGTTGGGGACGATGGCTTAGACCCAGATGGCCTCTCACTGTTCCTCCAGGTCGAAGGGAGACGCGTCGAGAGCGTTAGCGCTGACTCTGGGCGGGTTCCCGGATTTTAGCCGGGATTTCGGCGGATTTTCTAGGTCCTCATTAATTGAGAGATTAGGGTTGTCTTTTATTCGGTTAAAAGACGCGTTGGGAGAGTGTTGGGAGGTGGAATATGGGAGAGCGTTGGTAGTCATTCGACAGGAATGCATTTTCGAGTCCCTGTAATCAGACGCATCGATGCGTCGAGTTGGGCGTCCAAGCCCTTGGTGTGTGAACTGCTCGACCAAACTGGAGCACAGTATTCTGCAGGCGACCAAACTAGTGATAGCGACGTTGCTTGCAGTGTGCGCGCCCCAGCACCCCACGATGTTCCGGCCAGCTGCGCACGATGCTGACCCCAGGCTTCACTTCGTCGCGCGACCTTTCGAGGCGGGGTCTGAAGATGAGGCGGCTGTCCAGGATAACGCCTAGATACTTTGGCTTGGCCTCATTATTTACTTGATGGTCGCAGAAGGAGGCACGACGAGTCTCTTTATCGACCAATTCTTTATTCGGGTTTGGGCGGAGTCTCCATCTTAGGAAGTACATCACTGGGCGCATTCAATTCCGACCCGAGTTATAACGCGAGTCACGACACGAAACACTGAATGAATCGGGTGATGACGCAGGAACCTGACTCGAGTTACGTGCTATGACCCGATCTCTGAGATCGAGTCATTATCATCGGGTAATCACTCCAAACATGGCGACATCCATGGAAGACTTCCAGCGGCGAGAGTACGTACACAGATTCGGGGAAACGTGCAAATTTGCAAACGTGCAAACGTGCAAAAGTTGTGAATGATGCAAAAGGATGTCACGACGGCTGTTCCTTTCTTTCACCTAGCTAATATGAATTGTAATATCCCGAAATTGCTTTTGAGAAGTGCATTGGCCATCTCAAATTTGCTTCGAGAAGATTCAAATTTGGTATGGAACATTTTTTATTGCTGGCTGAGGTGACAACTACCTTGAGTGGCACCACGATGCAATAAACAAGAGGGTGCGGTCGAACTCGCGCATTGTGAATATCCCGGAGAGGTAACTTGATCTTGAAGACCATTCTGTACCTCTTCACAATATTCTCATTTCAACTCCCTCTATTGTTGCTACTACACAGAAAAGCAACTAAAATTCGCTGGTTAAATGACCCAATGCATTCAGAAGATGTCAAAGTGGGCTATGCCCTGAGTCATGACTCGCCCAGTTAGATCGAGTCACAACTGAATGCGCCCACTATTGTGTCCGGGTCAGCGGTGAGGGTTTCGCGAATGCAGAGAGTGTTGCACCCTGCGGTGCGAGCGCAATGTCCTCAGCTAAGACAGACTTTCTGATAGCTCTTTGCAAGAGATCGCTCGTGTTGAGGTTGAAGACCTGCGGAGCAAGGACGGAACCATGTGGCAGCCCGTTATTGAGTATACGGGATCTGCTAACTTGTCCATTTAGGTGTACGCTGTATCTACGGTCGCTAAACATGGCGGCTATGCGCCGAATCGTGCTGCGACATATGATGGCTGTAGATGCTTTAAGGAGAAGTCCTGCCCCCCATACGGTATCCTACGCAGAGGAGAGATCGACCAGGGCAATGCCGGTTTTTTTCTTCCGCTGGGAACCGACTTCAAATGGCTTATGAGAACTGATACCTGGTCGCAGCAGCTTCATCCGGGGCGGAAACCAGCTTGTTCTTTCGGCAGAGTTTTCTCGATGGTCGATGTGAGGCGGGCTCGTAGAGCCCTCTCCATCAGCTTCCTCGTGGTAGAGAGAAGCGATATCGGGAGGTAGCAGGCGGGTTTATCACCAGTATATTTGTTTTTAGCGGCAGCCAAGGCATTGTTAATTTCGTCCAGTTTGTGGGGGGAAGAAAGCGGTGAGGCTGCTTAGCATTCGTGGAGGCTGAGAGCGAGCGTCTTTTTCAACACCTCTTTTGTTTCTTTGTCGGCCGGCATCTTTGTGGAGAAGTTCGGCAGCGACAGCATTTGCCGTCACTGTGATCCAGACACTGTTTCACTCCTCTTGAGTCGCTTGGAGTTCAGTGACTCGATGGGCGCTGTGGCCTTGTCCGAGTCACAGGTCAGGTTATGCTCCGTCTGCTCCGTCTCTGCGGGCCAGCGTGGATGGAAATTCGGGCGAAGAGCTCGAAATTCTCTGGGATCGGTTTCACGCGTTTGATCCGGTCTTCGATTTCCGCCTTAAAGCAGTCCAGTCCGCCTTGCGGAAATTCCAGCACGGCTTTGGCTTTGAATTGGGTCTTACTAATCGCTCGAAACGGTTACCTAAAGAATTTAACCGGTGAAACGTGACCGGAAAACTCCTACAGATGTCCAGAAAATTCGAGCTGAGTTTCGAGATAGTGAGATGAGGCAATGCGGAGCAAACTTGCTAAATGCAAGGAATTGAGAATTAAATTTCTGGATATTGTGCGATTTCTCCGCACATCTTTAATTATCGATTTAATAATCGATAAAATAAGAGCTATCGGGCCACGTTTCATCAGTAACCGTTTCGGGTCATAAGTATGACCCCATGGCCGTTATTGAATTTCGATCAATCGGAAAGTTTTTCCCACTAATATTCTTCCCACACTCTGGAAATTCTAATGTAATTCATAGTATACTAGTACAAGCTTCCATGCCGAAAATTTCATCAAGATCGCTCAACTCCTTCATGGTCGTACTTTTTTCAAGATGAGTTTACAATCGAAAATACAAAATACTCACATTTATTGACGCGCAGTAAATCTATCCATCCATACTTACTATATTAGAATACGCTAAGGAAATTCATGGTAGGAGATACCTAACCCAGTTTTAAAAATTACATAATTGCGGCTAGCTTGTATGTCATGCTTTCTAAAGCCAATTTCTTTTCCTAACGAGTCGGGACTATTCGAGGAACTCTGGATAGGCCTATCCTTCCTTGACCGCACTGAAATGGCCCATGAAACTTGTAAAAGACCTACAATCAGTCAAACGTTACAGGTTTCCTGTTAAATGGGCCATGAGAGACTGAATAGGCCTGCGATTGGCCTAACATTGCACGTCCTCGACAAGGTGTCTCGAAGACCAAGGATTAATCCTTATAGACCTATTTAGTCTTTTTCTTTTGAACGAAAAAAGGTAGGCCTATGCCTAATATAAGTGAGTTCTGATGAGAAGGCGGGGGGGGGGGGGGGAAAGGTTGAGATTGAAGAAAGGTAAAACCTTTGTAAGTTGGTTTTCATATTACCTCATCGAAACATAACAGCAATAGATTTTTTTTTCCTGAACATATTGTTCAGTATGTTAGGGGTTACGGTGCCTACAGTAGCATAAATACGATCTCTTAAATCTTCAACCTTGAAAACCTTCGCGCGGTAAACCTTTGACCTAATGAACCCCCATGCAAGTTAGGTAGGATTATATCATGTTAAGGTCCTGATGCACGAGGCAAGAACTTGCTAGCAAGTCCTTGCTTACAAGGAACAAGCGAGGGTATACAGCAAGTACTTGCCTCCACTTTCTCGAAAGTTGTCAAGCATCTGTGAAACGAAGTCGAAAAGAGCGAAAACTATAGATGTCAGAGAGATCTTTCGCTGGTCATTGTCTTTGCATTCCAAAAGACCTTGTCCTAGGTCTAGCCTCTTTAAACCTGCAGGCCACGATTTAGGCATAATTTTGTGTGACATGGCGCCAAAACTCTCCATTGAAGCCACGTAGGCTTCCGTGATCGACCTTGTCTCTGGAGTGTTATGATGTAGGAATACCACGACCGCTCCATCGGGGATCAGGTAAGGAAGCCATCATGATATACCCTATTATGAGAGCAATATCTCTCCCTTGATTTAACTTCGAATGCACAAGAGCCATTTCAGACAAATACAGGGTCTTCCCGACCAATCAAGCACGACTTGCCTACAAGCCTTCTAGGATTCTGAACCGAGGGGAAAGTGGAAGCAAGCACTTGCCGGACTTACTCGGACTTGCAAGAGCGAAGCAAGTGGTGTATACACGAGGCAAGTCTCTTGGCAAGTGCTTGCTAGCAATTTCTTGCCTGATGTATCTGGGCCTTTAGTGTTAGGTCAGGGGATCTTGAAGCCCACATTCTGTTTGATCCTCCGTCAATCCGACGGTTCGGGAACTTCTGGTTTAGATAATCTCGCAAAATGGGAAGGAGCCCCGTCTTGTTGGAAAATCACGGTCTCGAAAACACCGATAGCTGTAGCCCAAGAAATTGCTGCAACATTTCCGCGATTTTCATCTGCTACACTTCCAGTCCTCCTATATTAATTCACAAGGATACGGATATTTGCATCCGTAGGTCCTGGTCTATGGAATTTCCGTAAGAAAGTTTCCGTATCTCGCCCCGAGACTTTCTTTGTAAACATAAACTCAACCTCAATCCTCTCCTGAAGAGTTAGCATCCTGTAAAAAGTTATATATGGTTACACCTGAAATAAATAATACATTATTGTTGATTAGAATTATTTAAAAGAATTATGGATTTTTCAACAAAATTCCTTGGGACTTTATGACCACCCTGTACTAGGTAATTGTTTCTATCATTTTGGAAACGGTGAAAATAGATTTTTCAAATTTTCGCGAAAATACTTCTTACATCAATTCCCCCTTACTTAGCGTGAAAATATCGGCTATAAACGAAGAAACAGATTACTATGGTACCTGTCAACATTCACAATGGAAATTTACCTTGAGAAGATGGACTTCCATAGGCTTCAGACCGAGGCAGTTGCGACTGATGAAGGTACCCTCTGTCCTCGTGACCACTCCTTGCATGTGGATGATGTTCGGGTAGTATCGCACCACGTGGCGCAACACGATCGTGTACAGAGTGGCCACCAGCATGATCGGCAATACGTAGCAGAAGATGGCGTATGCTGAACCAGCGAAAGAGAGTACATCGTCTTTATGCATTTTTGGGGGGCTGATGCAGCAAATTTCTATGAATTTACTTAGTGTTTCATTTTCATGAATAATTTAGAAACAATTTAGGGTTCTTATGCTGGATATTCTTTAATACAATTTTAATCCTAAGTCACTGTTATTTGACATGTTCGCTATGCGCGCAGGAAATATGATACATCAAGAAAAGGAATTATATTCCCATATTATATGCATAATCATTTCTCAGCGTAGATGACGATGAGATCATCGGCTCGAGCCTCTAATCGACACATGGAGGGACAGATACAAAAAATGACTGCAGGAGCTGATTACAGAGAAAGAAAAGTCTCTCACCCACGATGTACATGATAGCAGAAAAACTGCTGCCTCTCCAATCGATGGAGCAGGATGTGTAGTAGCCGAGGACTCATATCGCCCTGGTCTAGGGCTTCTCCCCCCCTTCCCTGGTTCTTTGCGATTTCCAGGTATAGCTTCGGTGCTAGGGTGTTCTTTGGTAATGGCAGTTTGCAGAGAGAAATAAACCCTTATATGATGAAATAAATGTTTCATTATAAGATGCGAAAATGATTTTGTCCTACCACATAAATGAATAGCATTTTGTAATGTCTAGCTATTCCCATAAATAATTATTTTTACCGAATTTATTAAAGGAGGAATATTATGATAAATGACATTATTGACATCATCATTCAGTCGCATTTAATGAAATTTCCTCTACAATATTTTCATTAAGTTCGTACATCCGAAGTGCCTCAGATGCCTGACTTCTATATTTACCACGTACTTGTACTTGTATGCCCTTGTATTATCTATACAAGGTATATGCACCTGGGAACGATTCCCCACCCGCCTTCTAGTTTTTCTAGGAGGATGGAGGAATTTAAAAAAATATATAAATTATGAATGAATCGGTGTTTTTGCTAAATTCACCTGTTTACTTTCGGCCTGTGACGCGTTAAGTTTCGATATCGCAAGATATTGTGGGCAGTGTCTTCCTCGGCAAACGGAAATTTCTGGCAAAATAGAGTGATTGAGATCGCTTAAAAAGTTCGAATCGGTTTTAATCTATGGACCCAGCATCATCTTAAGCCGAAAACGAAATGCTGAAAAATCTGGTAAAAAAAGAGTTTCGTGTAACCATGAGACCAATATAATATTTTTTTCTATATTTTCCCACATGTTTGTGCGTTAACTCTTGGTATATTTTGAACAGTTACCGTTTGAGCAGTTTACTGTAACATACATAAGCCTAAAAATGAAAAAAATGAAAGAAATAGTGCGAAGTTGCTGATACATTTTTGATACTGATGGAATTCTGAAACATACTGATGTCGTGCTTGAAGACAACCATATACCGATGAATGCATATGGCGACCTGGGTTGCCACACTGCTCTAAGAGGACAATGAAGGTGAACTCAGTTTCATATTGAAATACCAGGAGAATCATGTTCATGGGGACAAACAAAAGGGTAAACAATTCAAGGAGTCCCTAAAAAAGGTTTCACGATTGTATTATGCTATACTGTTTGCGGATATTATGACATAGTCGTTTGCTTCAAATATTCTTGCCTCACATGCCATATAAGTGTAGGAGACCGTACATTTCCAGTTTTGCCAAATCCATGTCAGAGACCCATCATGGGGTGGAAACGTATCATGAACGAAATGTAATACCAGCGCAGTAGAAAAACGTAAGTGTTGGACAAATATACCTTCCCCTCTCCATCTCACCCCTCCCCCCAACCCTCTAAGGCAGTGGTTCCCAAACTTCCTTTTGCTCTCCTCGAAGGTCCGTGTGTTCGTTGGTCCGCGGAGCACAGATTGAGAACCACTGCTCTAAGGTCATTGAACTCCTTTGTTTCCCTGGTCCATTCCTTCATAGAGGTTCGAAAAGAAAATTTGGGGAGAAATAGATCGCGGCAATTTATCGATCCTTTTAACCCCTCAATGCACCAGTTAAACATTCCATATTGGCAATTTGCATTTGCCGTCGTTGCGTGGAATGGAATAGAGTTCCATAAAATTTAAGGAAAGTGGACATTTTCGCTGCTTCTCCAGCTTCTTAACGTGTCACCTATAGCAATCAAGTTCTCATTTCTATAATATTTTAAAATATATATATGCACTTCATGGGCAGTTCCAGAGTAATTGGGACATAAGTGGTAAAAAATCACTTTTCGAAACTGTCATCCAGCTCACGCTTCCTGTACTGCATTAGTACTAAGCTTGGAACAAATAAGCTCCATTAAACATGCATCACCCGAGGTGGGATGGTTTTTCATCTCTCCAGCGCCATTATATTTAACTTAATAAAACACATGCATGGTGAATCTCGCTTTTTGACTAGTATGTTATGTAAGTAATGCTGGAAAACTCTCCTAGTCAATTCATTTTTGAGAAACAGAAAATCCCCTTTGGGATGGAGCAAGGTGGTGGTCTATGCCTTCTTTCCTGAAAACATGGAAGCTGCCAAATCAGACAAGATTGGAAAGAAAGAAATAGAACGAAAATCATTGTCCAAACTGCTACGTCAGTAACATAACATGAATGGCCTTCCCTTTTTCATCCATAGAAGACATGAGACAATTTTGACCGGAATAGGGACAAGTATCTATGCTGCTTTAGGCGATGCTGAAGCAGAACTTCTGGGTCAAACCATCTTTAAAATACATCATTCATGATTCCATTTTAAGTCTGGTGTTACCTCACCAACTTTGGAACTGCCCTTATGCCAGAGTGTGGAGTGATGCCAATACAGATGATTTGTTTCAATTCCGTATAGAAGCACTTATCAATCACGGTAGAATAGAAACTTCCTGATACCAAGAAGGTCGTGAAGCTGAGGAAGGCGTAGACTTGGCAGATGGTATCCGGGAACCTCCAATTTCCATAGTAGCTTGAGGCACTTGTGAAGACATTGCCGAATGAAGCGAGGAGGTCGGATGCCGCAAGGTTAAGTAGCAACTGCATGTGAGAATCCCGGCGAAAGCGTCGTTTGTGAAGGATCGTCGCGAAGAACAAACCGTTCCCCAATATCGCTAATGTCCCTTTGTACAAGAAGCAGCGAATATGATTCCAAAAAGAGTCTTTAAAGATCATTATGAAGATGTGGTCCCTCTTAATTATTAGCGTCTCTCTGACAAGTGATACCACAAAGATGCATCATCGAAACTGCCTCGTACCGATGGAAGTGCACGTTGGAAGTGCACACTAGCTGGAAGTGTACATTTGTGAATTTCCTCAAAAGATTGAAGGATATCGTACCTTCCAGGATATTTGGCCAATATCAATAATCTATCAATAATTTAACATTTTTTCATATATTCGAGTTGTACCACAATCAAATAACCATAGCATTCTAATTCATCTCTTGTAAGGCCTCTTTTCCCTTTAGTCCGAATTCTCCATTTCTTGAAGTTTTCCTCTTGAAAATCTAAAAGAAAATTTTGCTGTGCACCGCACAGAGTCACTCAACAATCGCTATCCATTTTTCTTACTTACTCTGAGGGCTTATGCCTTTGTTTATTATTATAATATACATTTACTTCACACCACTTGTGAAATATACGGTCTCTTGAAGGTATTTCAGGCCTTGAATGGCTAATGCTGTTTCTTTTGAAAATTCACATTATTGTTTCTTCTTCCTATGGACTTGATTTTTTTCTTTTGAAATACACAGCTACAAATATTCAATAAAACGTATTTTTAGGGCTGAACTTCATAGGGGATGCCCGAAAGTCGCGAAGTTGATGTCTATACCTGTTTCAATCCTATCTTTGGTTTTCGGTATCATGGAATGTTACCAATATATACTAAGATGTTAGTCAGGTCTGGGCATCCTCCGAGTCCCACCTGTGAGAGTTCCAGCCACCACCACTCATGTTTGAGTTCAGAAAAAAGAAAGAGAACTTACACTTTTGGCAGTCCAACAAATCTGAGAGCTCTGAAAAGCATAAAACAGGAATCATAGGTACCAGGGGCACTCCAAAAGTTCTTGCCATGTCATTCAATATTGCCTGATAATAATTAAATTTTTGATTTTGTTCTTCGGGTATTCAATAAGATTCAGAGATTTTATGATTTTTTTATTACAAAAATGGAAAAACGTAGTGAGGGGAAAAGAGGTCTCCTTCATGGCAGATGACACTGACCTGTAGAGATCAGCATGTGCTGACTTGGCATGATTTCCAAACGCGCCTAGCATCGAAACAGTGTTTTCCAGAGATTAAATCATAACTGGCCGATCTTGCCCTATCCATGTGCTGGATGGCTGGAGGGAGATCCCCATGAAGGTCGTCCAATTTCAGAAGTGGAAAAATAAATGGGGCTGAAGTGAAAGCTGTAGTTATGGAAGATCGAAATGCGACGTATTCTGTCATGGAGAAGACCCTTGGGATTGGAGAGTCTGCCTTAAAAAAAAATTGTGCATGAAATTTTTTTCGGTGGAAAAATGTATTTCTTGGATACCGCATTGGGTATTGGGAGTCGGTACCTGGCGATTAAAAATGGCTTAGGCCAATATCTGCTAAGAAATGCTGCAAAAATTCCTCAAAGGAACTTCAAGTTTGGTGTGGTGACGAGATCACACAGTGACGACGTCATACATTCAAAAGACAGGCTTCATAGGAAGCCGTCTTTTGAAATCATACCAAATCAGCATTCGCAGATCTCTATGCGTCAAGGTCATCTGCTCTGGAGTGTCACCTATATTGGCCTTACGCCACACGTCGCAATATCGGCAAAATATTTTTTTAAATCACTGAATCCTATTGAATCTAAAAAAAAAAACTAATTTAATTTGGATCAGACAATATTTGGTAGGAAATTTTGGAGTGTCCCTCGTATATCTGAAAGCACCAAGTGGCCGTAAAAAGTCCTGAACTGTACACTCCCGTTGATGGCATACTATATGAGTTATTGACAGGAAATTTACAGAGTTTCACATCCAATATTTGCACGTCAAGTCACAATAATGTCAAATAAATTGGTTGTTAACACTATGCATACCGCTCACGGAAATCTCCGTTTTTGAGTCATTTTGCGAGTCTTTTTTGCTTAGCCTATGGCTTAAAAAGTCATAGCCTTGTAGGCTTCGAGCAGTAGGCTCAGGTCAGAGCGGCGGATCGACGGACTAAAATGTCCGGTACGGAATGTGTTAATTACATGAGTAACAATTTTCCTCCTGGGAGAAGTCAAAAGAGCGAGTGTGCAAATAAACGCTATTGACCTCAATTTAAATTATTTTTGATCGGTCCTCCATTCTCGTCCACGACTGCTCGCAGACGCTGTTTGCATTTGTTGATTGATTTCCTTGCATTGTCATAAACAAGAGGCAACACTTCCTCAATTCAAGCCTTCAATTCCTCAAGTGATGTAAAAGGGTTGTTGCGTCTAGCATAAACTGGCTCCGTTTCGTCGAAGGGGTTTAACTCTGGGGCCATTCCACGCCAAATCGACCAGACTGGACGCTCGACCATATCTGATTTTCACGAAGATCGGCATACACGTACTGAAATCGATTTAAATAAACCTATTTCAGCCAATTGAATATATATGTATTTTACACCTATCTCCAGATATATGCATTTGGAAATGATCTACTTTTGTCTCCTGGAGCACACTGGGACTGGAATTATGAAAATGTTTCTGCAATGACTTCCCCTCTCGTTAAAATATAAGATTCATTCTGGTGTCATTTCAATTGTGATATCGCTGTCTTTAAATTGATTCCAGGCACTATTCTCCAAAGTCAAACGAGAAGTTCCACTCGAGCAAACAATTTGATCGAGTTCAGTGGCGAACACTTGCTACTTCGGAAATTCGTTGTTCCAATGCTTCATTCAAAAGTGTTTTAAAAAATGGCTATGCCATTTCTGACGATACCAAATTCGAGATTGACACTCAATGGCTTCACGAGATTTGAAAATTTGTCTGCAGCAGTAATGCCAAAATTACACTGGTTCGAACACTTTGACCGACTTCAGTGACCAACATCTGCACTTTTCCCTCCACGAATCCCGAATTATAATACATAATTGAAAAGTGCCTGTTATGCCCTTTCTAACGATGCCAAATTCAAAGTTGGTACACTATTGATTCATGAGATATGTCTCTTGAGCGCTTCTTCGCACACTTGCTCTTTCGACTTAGCGTGGGAAAAAATCTGTTACTCAGGGAGTTAAAATCCAATTTCATTCACATTTGTATAACATTCCTGTCGATAATTTAAATAGTATTCCGTCTGCAGGCGTTTAAAGTTCGTGAATTTTTTTTCTGGCCCCGGCATAGACGAACTTCATGCAAACAGTTTGACTCTCCTGCATGCAGTGCCTTGCAATCGATGTTTATGGATGCATGCCACAAAGAACTTCATGTTTCAAGCTAATAATCACATTTCAAATATTGTACATAGACAACACAGATAGCTTGTTTTCTGTACTTCCGTGAAATTATGCTGGATATGAGGGGGAAAGGAACTATTGCCTGTTCGTCTCTCACAAGTGATGTGAAAAATAATAAGGGGAAACGCGCTGCTAACAGGAAAATACGGCATATAATAGGGTAAGCACCCTGGTTTCTGGCTGGTCTCCAGTTGTTGGCCAGTGAGGCTTAAATTCAGCATAATTAATTCATCTGGCCTTTTTCAAGCATTCTATCAACATCCTCATGTACGAAGACCTATTACTAGTGATTCTCGGTGTGCGCACAGGGTGTCCACATTGTATGGGAGTCGTTTCAGCATGGCCAAAAATTGGGGTGTTTCCCCTGCCTAAATTCATTGAAATCGCTTTAAAATTTTTTGCTTTCTTTCGGCTTTGATTGCGAACTATTGAACATTTGTGATTATTTATCAACTCTCCAGATCGAAATGCATCAATACGCTGAACATTACGCAGGTGAGGGCTAGGGACCATATTTCTTGACATAGGGATGAAGTTCAATCACCACATCCCAGCAAATCTCAGTAAAGGAATCAATAGATCTTTAAGCGATCAGAAAATGTCATAGGCCAAGCGGACCTTTTGCACTACTCCTAAAGGCTCATATAAAATACAGTTAGGTAGTGCAATAATCACCTTTCCTCTCATTATTGTCACGTGGTGTAGAATAGGGTCAAATTTCCTAAAATGAGACATTTTCTCGAAAAATTAAAAGTGCAGAGAAACGTACGTAGGAATCATAATATCTGACATTGCGCCTAGTACGCCCCGAGCTGGAAACGGATGTTGGGATTCTCCTTCGGGAAATTCTTGGTTTGAAAATGTTGAAAATGTGTAATATTTGAAATGCGTAGTATTGGCACGAATAACAATTAAATTGGAAAGAAGTGGACTGGGACGGACAAAAATGGACCAGGGAAAACGCCACAAGCAGCCAACACATAGTGAAGAGGAAAGGGGGTCGAGATCGGCCATCCCAGACGGTATTGCTGGACCTTCCGACGCTTCCCCCTTTCTTTCGTGCGGAACATAACATATAGCATAAGCATTGGAAATTCGAATGACTAAAGTACCATTCCATATCATTTCTAGCGAGCAATACGAGACACCAATTGAAAGATGCATTGGAGCGTGGACGAAGCGAAGGGCGAGTCTGGGCGAAGGCGGAGGTGAAGTGACATGGGCATGACATGGGCAAAGAAAAGGGGAGACGAAGGAAGCGAGGAGGCTAGGGCAAGGAGGAGGAGGCGAGACGGAAACGGCGGGGATTTTGCTGCAAATGGAGAGGATGAAGGGCCGCGGCACTCCAGTGCCACGATGCATGGATGGTAAATTAGTGGTAAATTGTTGTACATTTCCAAACGCAACTGGGGCCCAAATGTCGATGCAATACTAAGAGAGTTATTCTCCAGTATCTTCCATTTTATAGTGCATTGGAGGATTTTCTGTGATCATTCTTGCAATTTCATCTTTAAATGTGTTCAATTGTACAATGCACAATATTCCCCAAAACGGAAAAGCTCCTTCGAT